GGCAGCGCCACGCTGAGCCGGGCTGGGGTTGCTGCTGCCCTGCTCCAGCTGGGGCAGTGCTGGTCCCTGGGCAGCTCCAGGGATGCCAGGGCTGGGGAGGTGCCCCCTGGGTCTGTTTTAATTTGTTTTCCTTACCCCATCCTCATCCCCATCCCTGTGCCCATCTCCATCCCTGTCACTGTTGCTGTCTCTGTCCCCATTCCATCCCCACCCCATCCCCATCCCTCTCCTGATCTCTGTCTCTATCCACAACCTGTGGATCTCCATCCCTGTCACTGTCACTGTCTCTGTCCCCATTCCATCCCCACCCCATCCCCATCCCCATCCCTCTCCTGATCTCTGTCTCTATCCACAACCTTATCTCCATCCCTGTCCCTGTCCTTGTGTCTATCCCCATCCCCACCCCTGTCCCCAACCGGAGCAGCTCCGGGGCTGTCAGGTGATGTCCAACCCAAACCCAGCTGCCATCAGAGCCATCACCTCATTCCTGATCCCGGTGATGAGCTCCTGAATTTGGAGCCGGGCTCGGAGGTTTGGAGTGGAGATAAATATCGGCATTAAAGCTGTCAGGGCCGGCGCCACGGCGCTCCCACGGGGTCACCCACGGGGTCACCGACGGTGGCACTGCTGGAACCGGACCCTCCCGCTCGCCACGGCTCCCGGTGACACCCCCGGGGGGCTTCAGCCCGTCCTGCTGCTCCCCAAAGGGGGAATTGTGTCCCAGAGCAGCAGGAGGACCAAGAGCCCCAGCCCTGCCCGTGGTTCGGTTCGTGGTCACAGCTGGGACCAGTGTGTTCCCTGGATTCCCTGGCTGGAAAGCTCCGGGAAAGAGGAAAAGAAAGGGAAAGGGGAATGGACAGAGAAGAGGGAAGGAAAACTGAAAAGGGAAGGAAAACTGAAAAGAAAGGGAAAGGGGAATGGACAGAGNAAAAGAAAGGGAAAGGGGAATGGACAGAGAAGAGGGAAGGAAAACTGAAAAGGGAAGGAAAACTGAAAAGAAAGGGAAAGGGGAATGGACAGAGAGGAGGGAAGGAAAACTGAAAAGGGAAGGAAAACTGAAAAGGGAAGGAAGACTGAGAAGGAAATGGAAACTGAAAGGGAAGGGAGGGGAAGAGAAATGGAAGGGAAAGAACGTAAATATGACAGGCATCCCTAAAGGCTCTCCACTGCCTGGCTGGGCCCTGGGGAGTCCCTGTGCCCCCCACCCTGTGCCCACCTCCCCGTGCCCCCTGCCCCTGCCCGTCCTGCCCCCCACTCTCCCGCTCGCCCCCTCTTTATTTTTTTAATCAGCGGCGTCGCTTTCTGGCGCCGAAGCGTTTCCCAGCCCCACACTCAGGAAACCTCATTAACACAGATCAAAAGGAGCTTTTAATGATTTATAAAGGTGCAGCAGTTTGGAGAAATTAAATAATTTAGGTGCTGTGTGTACGGCGGGGTCCCTCCGGACCGCATTGCCGGCGCTCCGTGAGCCACGACGCCGTCCCCGCTCTGTCCCACCGTGGCACCGGGGACAACGCCGGAGCCTCCGGGGACGGGGACTCGTCGCTGCCACCCTCCCGGGGGTTGGGGTGCATGGGGACAGGCCGTCCCCTGAGTGTCATCTCATCCCTGCCAGCGCCAGGGCCTGGCCGTGGTGGGATGCTGGGATCCTCCGGCACAGCCTGGAGGGAGTTTGGGAGGTGCCGGTGCGGGCGACGCTCGCTCTCCGCCACGGAAAGTATTTGGGACCACGCTTAAAATCAACCTTGGAGGTGGTGAGGTGGTGGGATGGGGCAGTGGCATGGGCTGTGGGGTGGTCAAACCCACTGCACCACACCTAGGTGGGCACAGGCGTCCGGGTGCATCCAGCTCCGGCTCCATCCCCTGCCAGCTCCACAGGTGACTTCTGCCTCTGGAGCAGGGAGGAGGGACCAGCCCGTTGCCCAAATCCGGCGCTGCCGTTGTCGTCCCGAGGGACGACGCCAGGCTGGGGCTCGGCAGCGATTCCGGCTGCCCGAGGAGAAGGAGAAGCAGATGGAAAAGCGGCTTAAACGCTCCCGGCGTGAAGTCCATTGCCGGCCAGGGCCGTGCCAGGAGCCAGCCGAGCGCCAGGATTAATGGCAAAAGGAGCTGCGGGAAGGGCTCGGTGGGTGCCTGCACCCCGGGGACCCCTCCCTGCCACCCCCCGGCTCTGGGATCACTTTGTCCCCATCTCCCGGGCCGGGGGGACACCTTGCAGGGCTGGGGGAGCTTTGGGGGGGGGTTGACATCGGCCTCTCTGCGGCTGAATTTCCAGCGGGTTGTGTTTAATAGCCCCAAAGAGGGCTGGGGTTGGGGGGGGTGTCTGGTTTGGGGGGGCAGAGGGGGAGCTGCTGTGTTTTATTTTGCTCTGTAATAGGCTTATTACTGCTGATCACGCTGTGACTATTTGAATGAAGGAGATTTCGGGAGATGAAAGCGGAAGGGAGATTTTAAATCTCTCAGTGCCTGGCCCCGCAAGGACGGGTGCCCTTGGAGAGGGGGGGACCCCATACCTGGCCCCCTGCCCCAGTTCCCCCCTCGCTCTGCTGCCCCTGTGAGCCCCAACTGGCCCCCAGTTGTTCCAAACCTCCTAATTTCCAGCCTCAATTTATTCATGGCCGGTTTATACCCATTTGTTTATGTGCCAACACCGTTTCTCAGCTTAAATAGCTCTTTTCCATCCATAATATCCACCCCCCTCCCCTTATTCCAGTGGGCGCAATCATATCTCTTTTCAAGCTGTTCAGGAAAGAAAAATCTGAATTATTTAACCCTTGGGACACTGGCTGGTCTCACAGGGTGTAGAGACAAATCCGCTTTGTTCCTGTGCTGGGTCGCTGCCCGAATTCGGGAATTTTGGGAGGATGCTGCTGCAGCTCAGAGGGGAAACTGAGGCACTGGCATCATCCCTGGTGATGGAATTGTCCTCATCCCACGGTGTCATCCCTGGTGATGGGATCATCCCATAAGATCATCCCAAAGGAGGGTGACTCCTCCCCACAGCCCCCCAAAGGAGGGTGGTTCCCTCCCTGTGGCCCCCCCATCTCTGTCTGGGCCATTAATCAGCTTTAATCAGGTTTAATTCAGCAATTTGTCAGGCAGGCAAAGGCCCTCAAAGTGAGTTTTTTCCCCAAAAATGTAATAATTATTATTACTATTATTCCCTTGATACGGGGGGCCCCCCCGCCTTTGCTTGGGCTTTAGTAACGATCATTAAAATAAATAATTTTTTTAAATAAAAGGCAGCAAGAAGAAGGGTTTTTTTTGTTGGTTTTTTTTTTCTTTAAATATTTTTTATTGTTCTCGGCGCATTTGAAAATTGTTTCCCAGTAAATTCCAGCCCTTTGTATTAATTTTACATTCTCCAATGTTACCTTGCCAGGGGCAGGGTTGGCACAACTGGCTCAGGAAAGGAGAGGGAAGGAGAGGGAGAAACCCTGCTCCTTAATTAGCGTGTTCCCTGTGTGATCAGAGAGCTTATGAGGCAGGTAATGAGCTGGAGGGGGGCTGCAGGACCACCCCCCTCCCCACACCGCCTCCCTTCTTCCCCCCCTCCCCTTTTGGGGGTCACTCTCCTCCGCCATCCCACCGCAGGGATGGGGATGCACTTTTGGGGTGCTTCTGGGTGAGTTGGAGCCGTCTCAGCAGCTGCCACAGCCTCAGGGGGTGTTTGGGACCCCCAAGATTCTGCTCTGGGAGGTTGAGGGGGTTGTGGTCACCATCCCCGGCCCACCAGGGCTGTGCTGACCCCTCCAGCCACTGGCCGAGCCCTGGAGCTGTGGGGTGACCACTGCCCCTGGCAGTGCTGAGATTTTGGGGGGCTACCTGATGGGGGAAACCTTAAATTGATAGGAAAAAAACCTTGGTTCAGCGAGGAGGGGAAGCCGAGCTGCCGGGGGGGAACGGCAAATTTGGCCTTGAGCTCCGCCAGCTGTGGTGCTGGGGGTCTGGAATTTGGGGAGGGGATCACCGGAGCCACCCCGAGGGGCTGGAGGGGGGGTTGCTGGCACGTGCCACGGAGTTCTCCAGTGCTGCTAATCCCTTAAATCTCCCGGCTCATCGGTGCCAAGAACACCAATGACACCGGGACCGCGGCGATGCCGGCGCCGCCGGGAATAATCATTTTTGTGTGGTTTCCTGCCAAGTGGTGCCCGTTTGTTGGCATGGAACAAAGAGGATCTGGATTAGTCTGGAGGTTAATGGGGCTGTTGGGGTTGGATCAGGCTTTGGATCACGGAGAGGTGAGGCCCTGGCACAGGATGCCCAAAGCAGCTGTGGCTGCCCCACCCCTGGAAGTGTCCAAGGCCAGTTTGGATGGAGCTTGGAGCAGCCTGGGACAGTGGAAGCTGTCCCTTCCCATGGCAGGGGGGACTGCATGGGCTTTAAGGTCCTTCCCATCCAAACCATCCTGGGATTCCATGCTGTGTTCCCCTCCTTAGCCACTCATATCCAATAGTCATGGATCATCTGGAGGCACCACTTGATCTCCCAGGAATGGCTCTGCTTGGCTCCTTCCTGCTAAACAAGAGTCCCAAAAAGAGCAGCTTGGCAGAGTCCCAGCCCAGGACACCAAGCAGGGCACAGAAACAAAACACCCACGGGGACTGGATGAGCTTTAAGGCCCCTTCCAACCCAAAGCTCTGCGGGACTCCGTGATTCCAGGATGCCGGGAGGGGTCTCCAAACGAGTTGGGAACGAGTTTGTGATTCCAGCACACCGGGAGGGGTCTCCAAACGAGTCGGGAACGAGTTTGTGATTCCGGGAGGGGTCTCCAAACGAGTTGGGAACGAGTTTGTGATTCCGGGAGGGGTCTCCAAACGAGTTGGGAACAAGTTTGTGATTCCAGGATGTGGGAGGGGTCTCCAAACGAGTTGGGAACGAGTTTGTGATTCTGGGAGGGGTCTCCAAACCAGTTGGGAACAAGTTTGTGATTCCAGCACACCGGGAGGGGTCTCCAAACGAGTTGGGAACAAGTTTGTGACCCACTAACGTCTCCGCAGGTTCCACCGCGGGGACTACACGGTGGAGGTGAGCATCAACGACTACCTGGACATCTACTGCCCGCACTACGAGGAGCCGCTGCCGGAGCGGATGGAGAGGTACATCCTCTACATGGTCAACTACGAGGGCCACGCGTCCTGCGACCACCGGCAGCGCGGCTTCAAGCGCTGGGAGTGCAACCGCCCCGACTCCCCCAACGGGCCCCTCAAGTTCTCCGAGAAGTTCCAGCTCTTCACCCCCTTCTCGCTGGGCTTCGAGTTCCGACCCGGCCACGAGTACTACTACATCTGTGAGTGGGGATGGGGATGGGTGGGAGTATCCCCGGGGTGGTCCTGCTGCAGAATTCCCCCAAAACTGCAGCAAGTCCAGCTCAGGAGAGCATCCCATGGGAACCTTCCATCAGGGCAAACATCCCATGGAAACCTTTCGCTGGGGTTGTCACAGCTCTAAACATCCCATGGAAACCTTTCGCTGGGGTTGTCACAGCTCTGGGCGTGACAGTGACCAGGATTGTCTCATCCCAGTGGAAATGGCACTGGGAATGGCCCAAGCCCCAGGCAGCGTTCCCAAAATCTCCTGTGTATTCTTGTGCTCTCAAAAATATTCCCATGGTCTCACACGTAATTCCTGCGCTCTCCCGTGTAATTTCCATCCTCTCACATGTATTTCCATGCTCTTCTGTGTGTAATTCCTGTGCTCTCCCATGGAATTCCCATGTTCTCACATGGAATTCCCGTGTATCCCTGTGCTCTCCTCAATCCGGGCTCCCTTTCTCACCCAACCTGAAGAGCCTGGCCTGCTCTGGAGGAAACTCTGCTGCTGGCTGCAGGACGAGGGCTCCTGGCAGGGAATTTCCAGCTCCAGGGTGTCCGCAGGGACAGGAGGGAGAGAGGATCCCGCTGGAAAAATAACCCAGCAGTGCTGGGAGCAGGTGCTGGGATAAAACCCAAACCCAAACGAGGCAGCACGGCCCCAACCCCGCCGCCCTCTCCGGAGCCACGGCCACGCTCCTCCGCCTTATCATTCCTCCTCTTTTTCCTAAAGCAGCTGTTTTCAGCCCACTTAATTTGTTCCTTTTATCTATATTAAATTACCATTTTCCCCCTCTCTCTTCCCCCCCGTGAAATGTCACCGGCGCAATAACTGCGGCCACAACTCTCTCTGTCTCTCCCCCCCCACTCCCCAACAACCCCCACCGCTTTTATTTTATTTTATTTTATTTTTTTATTTTTTAATGTCGTTAGGGAGAGATTACACAGGAGTAAATGGGAAGCTGATCATTGCTAACCCGGTTAGAATTCCCGTCATGCGGAACATTAGAAATTATGCCTCTTTGAGGAACCGTATTTAGCAGACATGAAAGAAAAGAAATTACCTCCTCCTCGAGCCCACGGATTGGAATCCATTAACCCGCCGGCACCGGGACACGCTCGGGCCTCTGGAGCGGGTCAAGGGCACGGGACGGAGCTGGGATGCAGTGGGATGGGGTGGGATTCTGCTGGATTGGGTGGAATTCTGTGGGATGGGGTGGGATTCTGCAGGGTGGGATGGGATTCTGTGGGGTGGGATGGGATTCTGTGGGGTGGGATGGAATTCTGCAGGATGGGATGGAATTCTGTGGGGTGAGATGGAATTCTGCAGGATTGGGTGGAATTCTGCAGGATGGGATGGGATTCTGCAGGATTGGGTGGAATTCTGCAGGATTGGGTGGAATTCTGCAGGATGGGATGGAATTCTGTGGGGTGAGATGGAATTCTGCAGGATTGGATGGAATTCTGCAGGATGGGATGGGATTCTGCAGGATGGGATGGGATTCTGCAGGATTGGGTGGAATTCTGCAGGATTGGGTGGAATTCTGCAGGATGGGATGGGATTCTGCAGGATGGGATGGAATCCTGCAGGATGGGATGGAATTCTATGGGATGGGATGGAATTCTGCAGGATGGGAGGAATTCTGTGGGATGCCTGTGGTGCTGCTCAGTTCAGCACTATCTCCATCCCCCCTTCCATGGGGTGCAGCGCCAAAAAGGAAAATAAAATGGGAGGGTAAAAAAAAAACCCCACCCCCATGGAATGTTGGCGGCAGCCCTGGAGGAGCTGGGATGGAGGAATTGGGGTGCTCGTGGTCCTGCTCAGCTCAGCACCTTTTCCTTCCCTCCATGGGGTGAGGTGCCAAAATGGAAAAGAAAAGGGAAGGGTAAAAAAGCCCCTGCTTAATTTAAAAAAAAAAAAAAAAAGAGAAAATGTTCTCTTTTTTTATATATATATACACATATATGTATAAAATAATCCCAATTTCTCGTCCTAAGAGGAAGTACCACCCCAAGAATTACCACGATTCCTCCCTTTCTCCCAATGTTTATTATTATTATTTTTATTCAGTGCCTTGACCCTCGTTTTGCCACTGTCCCCACAATCCCTTTGTCCCCTTTCCTCCTGCAGCCGCGTCCCCCCCGAACACGGTGGACAGACCCTGCCTGAAGCTGAAGGTTTATGTTCGGCCAACAAGTAAGTGAGAGGTCTGGGGGGGTCCCTGGGGGGGTCCCTGGGGGGGTCCCCAGGTCCTGCCCCGTGGGTTGGGGACGAGTGGTGGCTTTTAGGTACCCCAGGGATGGGGACAGGGCCCCTCAGCTCTGTTGGAGCCATCTCAGCACAGTCCAGACCCAGACATAGGGAAAAAAAAAAAAAATTAATAACAATAATCATCCCTGCTCAGTGGCTACTTTTCCAGCTCGCATAAATCAGCCATTTAAAAAAAAAAACAAATTAATAATTTTCTTCTCCTGTTAACGTGTAATTAGCAAATGGCAGCGGCTCTCCCTGGGGACAGCGGAATGTCACCGGGTAACCGATGGCTCTCGCCTCCCTTCCTTTGGTGGCTTTAAAATAAAATCCAGCATAACAGAACCATCTGTAAAAACTCATCATGTTCTATTCAGGATGATGGGGGGGGAAGAAAAAATCTCCTGACATTATTTTTTAGTATTTTAATAATATTGGGATTTTGTTCCGTCTTGCGGAGCAGAAGAAGAGGGAGAGGGGAGAGAGGCTGGGCCTGGGGGATGGGGGAGGTCCCTGAGGGGGCACCCCTTGACTGGGTCTGGCCCTGGAATGAGTCTGGAAGCCTCATCCCGGCATGAGGGACCCTCTGGAATTTTGGGGCACGGGGGGGGGCCGGGCGTGCAGAGCATCGGAGCATCCCCAGGCAGGACCAGACTCTGCTTTTCCTGCCTCCAGGTCCATAAAAATCCATAATCCGGTGGCAAACGGGAGCGAGCTGAGCTTGGGGGGGGGTCCCGTGTGCCCCCCTGGGCTACCCTGGCCGGGACCCCCAGGCTGGGAGCCGGGGGTGACCCTGCCCCGAGCGGGTCCATCCCAGCCGAACCCCCGGGACAACGGGGACGGGGTGAACGCTCCAAATCCCGCTAACAAACAGGGCAGGAACCGGAGCGCCCTGGGGAGCCCCTCGGCATTCCCAGCCTCGGGTGGGATGTCCCCGTGTCATGTCCCGGGGGTGGCAGCTGCGCTTTTGGGGGAGCTGGGACGTGGGGAGGGCACACGGGAACGCGCCGGACCCCAACGCCGGGGCCGCCGCGCATCACGGCGCGGATCGCCGCCGCCCCAGCGGCTCACCCGCTCTCCGTTGCGTCCTTCACCCGCTCTCCGTTCCGTCCTTCACCCGCTCTCTGTTCCGTCCTTCACCCGCTCTCCGTTCCGTCCTTTTCCGCAGACGATTCCCTCTACGAGTCCCCGGAGCCCATTTTCACCAGCAACAACTCCTGCTGCAGCCTCAGGGTGCCGCCGGCGGCGCTGGCGGTGGTGCCGGTGGTCTGGACGCTGCTGCTCTCCTAGCACCGACACCGGCGCGATCCCGCCCGCCCCGAATCGCCTGGAGGGCGCCCGGAGAGGATCCTGAATTCCGGGATGGGTCCCGAGCTCCATCCCTGCCCCGCAGCTGCGGATGTCCCGGTGGGGCGTTGCTTTTTACATTTCTAGACCAAATACAGAGTCCTCGTCCGTTTGGGGTTTTTTCCTTCGTTTGGTTTTGTTTGGTTTGGTTTTGTTTGTTTTTTTAAAGAAAAAAATTATTTTTATTTTTATTTGCTGAGTTGTTCCCGTCGGGTCCCCCTGGTGTCAGACTGACCCGCACGGGCCGGGCTCGAGTGCCCACTGAGCCCTCACTGACCCCACCGTGGGTGGAGACACCGGGACCACCGGGCACAGGGATGGTGCCACCGGGACCACCGGGCACTGGGATGGTGCCACCGGGACCAGCAATGGTGCCACCGGGACCACCGGGCACAGCAATGGTACCACTGGGACCAGCAGACACAGCGATGGTGCCACCAGGACCACCGGACACAGTGATGGCACCACCAGGACCAGCAGACACAGCAATGGTTCCACCGGGACCACTGGGCACAGTGATGGTACCACCGGGACCACCGGACACAGCGATGGTGCCACCAGGACCACCGGACACAGCGATGGTGCCACCGGCTCCGCGGGCACGGACTCCTTCCCAGCCCGGCCGCAGGACGTCACGGAGCCGGACCCGCCAGCCCCGGCCGCCCCCTGCCCCTGGCACGGGGGGCCTGGACGGACACAGCCCCCTCTGAGCACCGGGGCTTCACCCTGTCCCCTCGGCTGGCGTCACCGCCGTCCCCGTGGGACACCGGGGTGGCTCCGTGAGCAGCCAAGGACGCTGGACACAGCTGGGCTGGGGACGCCGGGGTGGCGGGCACGGAGAGCACCGGGGTGGCGGGCACGGAGAGCACCGGGGGTGCCCGGCACCGGGAGAGCAGCGAGCGGCCACCGGCGTGGAGAGCACCGGGAGCACCGGGAAGGGCTGGCACTGCCCGTGGCTGGCACGGGGAGCACCGCCGGGCGCTGGGAGCCGGCAGGCCGGGCTCGCCCAGCCGTGGGCATCGCTCCGAGGGCGTTTGGCACCGGGAGCAGCGCGTGCCGTGGGTTTTCCTGCTCCGCAGCCCCCCAGTGCCTGGGTTGGGGGTACAGGAGCCCCCTCAGGGGTCTGGGGACCGCGCGTGGGACCCTCCTGGTGCTCCCCCATTGTCCCCCCACGTTCCAGGGCTGGGCTTGGGGATTTTTCCCTTTTCCTTTGCATTAATAAGTGAACTCCACCCCCCCATCCCATCCCTCCTCCAAACCCCCAACCCGAGGTTGGCCGTGACCCCAGGGGTGGCAGATCCCCAGGGAGGGGTCACCCCGCAGCCCCGGGGTCTGACCCCTCCTCGCCTTAAATCTGGGGCTGTCCCACCTCGGGGAGGTCCCTGTGCCCATCCCACAGGAGCCAGGGATGGTCGGTGGTCCCGGGAGATGCCAGAGGTGGGCTCAGACCTGGCTGGAGCCCCCCCATTCCGAGTGGATCCTGGCTCTGCCCGGGGGGGCTCTGTCCCTGTACATACAGCGCTATACTGTGAGCAGTTTTTTTTTTTATGTATTGTTGAGAATGGATTTTATGGAAGGGTTTATCTTATTTTTATTTTATTTTTATTTTTTAGACTAGGAAGCTGGAATCTTGCAATAAGCTCATCCCGACCATCCAAAAAAAAAAAAAAAAAAAAAAAAAAAAAAAAAAAAAAAAAAAAACAAAAAAAAAAAAACCCAAAACCAAAACAAAACAAAAAACAAACACATAATTTAAAAAAAAAAAAAAATCGCATTCCCTGCCTTCCCTGTCCCTGTCCCGTGTGTCCAGACCAGGTCGTGGTTCCCGAAGGTGACAAAATGTGTTTATTGGGGGGGGGGATGCGGGGGGCACCCGCCGGGCTCTGACACGGAGCCGGCAGCACCCGCCTGGCCTTCGGTCTGTGTTTTATATATATATAGATTATATCTATAAATATCTATATTGTGTACAGCGACTGTGGGAGAGTGGAAGGACGGAGGCGGCAGCGGGGCCGCCGGGGGTCCCCCGGAGCAGCCCCCCTGCCCCCGGCGCCGTCCCCCCGCGCTGCTCCCCGCCGCGCCTCGCTCCGTCCTTCGACATTCCCGCTCTCGTCCTCGACGTCGTGCTGATGGTAACCGGATCTCTGACCCCCCCCCCGCGTTTGGATTCTGTATTTTTTTATAATAAAACGTCAATAAATGTCGTGTGAGGCCCTTGCACTGCTCCCTCTCCTCGGGGGGGTGCCCAGAGGGACACGGGGGGGTCCAGGGGCTCCGTCCTCGCTCCCTTTCCCCTGGTACACCAGGGCTCTGCAGCCAGACCTCACTGCTGGGTGGTGTGTTAATTACGGGAAGGACTTAATTACCCTGTTAATTAATAATAATGGATATTAAATTAATTAATGTGCAATTGTTGATAGTGCTTAATTACAGGAGGCGAGGCTGCCTGGCGGGTGGGCGCTCGGGGCTGGCAGTTCCCGCAGCCCCGGCTCCTCACCTGCCGCTGCCTCAGTTTCCCCAGGAATGAGACACCGGCAGGGGACATCCTGGCAGGCCACTAAAGCCAGGACAGGCTTCTCTGAGGTGGCATCACCGAGCTTCCTCTGCCTCTGCTCTTTCTTTTCTTAAATCCCAAACTTTTTTGGAGCGGCCCGTGCTCCTTCCTGGCATTTTTGTGCCTATTCCAGCGTAATTAGCAGCAATAGGAACAACCCGCTGGTAATTAATTGAGGCTCCCACAGCTGATCCGAGCTCTGAAGTTTTGCCACCAGAGGGTGAAAGACTAATTTTGCTTTTTAATAAGGACCATATGTGTGCCAGGAGCGGCAGCGATGCCACCCACCACCGGGGACGTGGGTGCCACCTCCAGCTCCTCCGTCAGAGGGAACCACCAGCGAAAGAGCTTGGCAGGGATTGACCAAAAATTGGATTTTTAGACCGCCTCAGGAGGTTTTCTGAGACCCAGCTCATGATTTTTTTAACACTGGGAGTTGGAATAGGGAGGTAAAAATAGCGAACGAGGCTGAGACGGATCATCGTTCGTAATTAATGAATGGAGTCGTGGGGCTTTAGGGCCTGAATGGGATCATTTAGAGCCCGTCTCTTCTGCGGAGGCATCGAGGTTTGATGTGAGGAGTGGTGGTGATGGAGAGCTGGGCTGGGCCTCGGTGCTCCCTGTGCTGGATCCTGTCGGGCTGCGGGATCCCCGTGGCAGCAGTATCAGGACGTGAGTGGAGCTGGGTCATTCCGAGAGAGAACTGGGGCTCATTCCGTGGGGTCAGGCTGGGACGTGCTGTCCTGCTCCCCACCTGCTCCAGAGCAAAGGCTCCAGGACCCCCGGGATCCCAAACCCCCGTGGTGATCCTGGAATGCACCTTCCGAGCTCTCCCTTCCTGCTGCTTCTTGCTCCCTTTCAGCATTTCAGCATTAATTGTGTTTTTTTTTCTTGTTTAATCCCCTGGGTGCTCCGTGCTCCACTGGCTCGTGGAATATCCCACCTGCTGCAACATTCCAGCTGTGGGGAGCCCAGGGGCTGCAGCTTCCCCGGTGCCGGTGCTGTGGTCGGGGTTTGCACCGTGAGGAGGCTCAGGATGGTCCCCAGCTCCCTCCCTGCCCTGGTGCTCACTCCAGGGATGTCCAGCCGGGATGTTCACCGATCCCTGCTGGGCTTTCCAGAGGCATTTTCCTGCTTTGTGCCTCGAGGTGCCCGTTCCAGCAGGGAAACCGCTGTGGCTCAGGGCACCGGGAGGCCAAACCCTCCCCGGGGCTGCTCCAGGCAGGGCAGGGAGTTGGGAACATCCTGGGATGAAAAGAAATGTTTCCTCCAACATCCAGCTTCAGTTTGCTCCATTGAAATGAATTCCCGGTGGCCAGGCTGTCCCCTCGCCACCCTGGGTCCGTCACGTCCCTGCAGCAGCTCCGGCGGCGGTTCCTGTCCCGAACCCAGCCCGCAGGGGATGCCGGATTCCCTCCTGTCCCGAACCCAGCCCGCAGGGGATGCGGGATTCCCTCCTGTCCCGAACCCAGCCCGCAGGGGATGCGGGATTCCGTCCTGTCCCGAACCCAGCCCGCAGGGGATGCGGGATTCCGTCCTGTCCCGAACCCAGCTCGCAGGGGATGCGGGATTCCCTCCTGTCCAGCCCGCAGGGGATGCGGGATTCCCTCCTGCCCAGCCCGCAGGGGATGCGGGATTCCCTCCTATCCCGAACCCAGCTCGCAGGGGATGCGGGATTCCTTCCTATCCCGAACCCAGCTCGCAGGGGATGCGGGATTCCTTCCTATCCCGAACCCAGCCCGCAGGGGATGCGGGATTCCCTCCTGCCCAGCCCGCAGGGGATGCGGGATTCCCTCCTGCCCATCTCGCAGGGGATGCGGGATTCCCTCCTGCCCAGCCCGCAGGGGATGCGGGATTCCCCCGGCCCCGTGTCCGCTCCGGCTGCCGCCGCCGCCCCCTCCCCGCCTGCCCGGCCATCCCTCTCCTCCCGTCCTTATCTCCTGCTCGGTACGAGCGGTACAAGCAGGAGCGCTCCTGGAACGAGCTGCCAGCTGCGGAGCACCTGGAGAACCCCGGAGCGGGGGATGATTTATGGAAACAGCGCGGGAGAGGAGAGAGGGAGGCGAGGAGACGGCGGCGGCTCCCAGCCGGCAGCGCCGCTCCCTCCGCCCGCCCGGGCTGCGGGGCCGTGCGGGGCGGGCGGGGGTCTCGGACCCCCGGCCCTTTGCGGCCCAGCCGGGTGTGTAATTGTGCTCAGCCGTGGCCGCTCCGTCCGCGGGGCAGCGAATGGAACTTTTCAGGCCGCTGGGTATTTGGGTTTTGTTCAGCTGTTGATTCCCCCCACCACCACCCTGGGGAGAGGAGGGGGCGCGGGGAGCGGAGGGAGGGTGGCGGGGTGGGGAGGGGGCTGCAGCAGCCCCCGATGATTCCTGGGAATCATTGATTCAGCAAATCCCAGAATGGTTTGGGGTGGAAGGGGCATTAAAACCCATCTCACTCCACCCCTGCCATGGCAGGGACACCTTCCACTATCCCAGGCTGCTCCAAGCCCCGTCCAGCCTGGCCTGGGACACTTCCAGGGGTGGTGCAGCCGCAGCTTCTCCAGGAAATCCATTCCAGGGCCTCGC